TTGGTGTCATCTGCAAACTTGCTGAGGGTGCACTCAATCCCCTCATCCAAATCATTGATAAAGATATTAAACAGAACAGGGCCCAAAGCCGAGCCCTGGGGAACACCACTTGTGACCTGCCACCAACCGGCTTTAACCTCATTCACCACAACCCTCTGGGCTCGTCCATCCAGCCAGTTTTTCACCCAGTGAAGAGTACACTTGTCCAAGCCATGAGATACCAGCTTCTCAAGGAGTATGCCATGAGAGACAGTGTCAGAGGCCTTGCTGAAGTCAAGGTAGATAACATCCACAGCCTTTCCCTCACCCACTAGGTGGGTCACCTGGTCATAGGAGGAGGTCAGGTTGGTCAAGTAGGACCTGCCTTTCGTAAACCCATGCTGACTGGGCCTGATCCCCTTCTTACCCTGGACTTGCCATGTGAGTGCTCTCAAGACAAACCGTTCCATAATCTTCCCCAGTACCAAGGTCAGGCTGACAGGCCTGTAGTTCCCCGGATCCTCCCTCCGACCCTTCTCGTAAATGGGTGTCACATTGGCAAGCCTCCAGTCCTCTGGGACCTCCCCTGTTGACCAGGATTGCTGATAGATGATAGAGAGTGGCTTGGCAAGGACCTCTGCCAGTTCCCTCAGTACTCTTGGATGGATCCCATCGGGTCCCATAGATTTGTGAGTGTCCAGATGGCGTAGTAGGTCACTAACTATTTCCTCCTGGATTAAGGGGGGGTATATTCTGCTCTTCATCCTCGCCTTTCAGCTCAGGGGGTGGAGTACCCTGAGGATAACTGGTCTCCCTATTAAAGACTGAGGCAAAGAAGGCATTAAGTACCTCAGCCTTTTCCTCATCTCTGGTAGCAACGTTCCCTTCTGTATCCATTAAAGGATAGATATTCTCCTTGGGATTCTTTTTATTGTTAACATATTTGTAAAAACATTTTTTGTTGTCCCTTACAATAGTGGCCACATTTAGTTCTAGCTGAGCTTTTGCCTTTCTAATTTCCTCTCTGTATGATCTAACAAGATCCCTGTACTCCTCCCAAGTTGCCCGCCCTTTCTGCAGAGATGATAAACTCTCCTTTTTTTCTTGACTCCTAGCAAAAGCTCCGTGTTCAGCCAGGCCAGTCATTTTCCTCGGTGGTTCGACTTGTGGCACATGGGAATAGTCTGGTTCTGAGCCATTAAGATTTCTTTCTTAAAGAATGTCCATCCCTCCTGGACCCCTTTGCCCTTCAGGACCGTCTCCCAAGGGACTCTCTCAACCACGGCCTCGAAGAGGCCAAAGTTTGCCCTCCAGAAGTCCGTAGTGGTGGTTTTGCTAACCCCCTTCCTTGCCTCACCAAGAATTGAGAATTCTATCATTTCACGGTCGCTAAGCCCAAGATGGCCTCCGACCATCACACCTCCCACCAGTCCTTCCCTGTTTGTAAACAGTAGATCTAGCAAGGCTCCTCCCCTGGTTGGCTCACCTACCAGCTGTGTCAGGAAGTTATCTTCCACACGCTCCAGGAACCTCCTAGATTGTTTACTCTCTGCTGTGTCATATTTTCAGCAGACATCTGGAAAGTTGAAGTCCCCCACGAGAACAAGGGCACACAATTCTGAGACTACTGCTAGCCACTTGTAGAACGATTCATCCGTCTGTTCAGCCTGGTTGGGTGGTCTGTAACAGACTCCCAGCACAATATCTGCCTTTTCAGCCTTCCCTCTCATCTTTCCCCATAAGCACTCCACCTTGTCATCACAGTCGTGTAGCTCTGTACAGTCAAAGCACTCCCTAACGTAGAGAGCCACCCCACCACCTCTTCTACCTTGCCTATCCCTTCTGAAGAGCTTGTAGCCATCCATTGCAGCACTCTCAGTCATGGGAGTCGTCCCACCATGTTTCCGTGATGGCAACTAAGTCATATTTATCCTGCTGCACGATGGCTTCTGGCTCCTCCTGTTTTTTGCCCATGCTGTGTGCATTGGCATAGATGCATTTGAGCTGGCCTATCGAATCCACCCCTAACATTGGCATGCTTGGCCACTTAAAGTGAAAATTCTTTTAACGATAGCTCACTATGTAAAGGATTAAGCAAGATAGATACTGCCTTGAGACTGGATCTTCTGGTTAGTATGTCATTTGAGTTTTAAGTGTATTTAAATCATAAGCTACTTGAGATGAGACACTGTCTTCCTGCTTGTATAGCACTGTCCTAGACACCTTGACCCTTTTAATAAAGTATATTAACTTTACCTATAACAAACTTGTTTTGCATCTCCTAAAAGCAGTTTCACTAACTAAATCAAAGCAGAAGAGAAGACTGAAAGCAGAAGAGAAGACTGAAAACAAAAACGTATTTGTCTGTGGGATTCTGAGGAATCGTTATTTTGCCATCTTCTATAACGTCATACTCAAACATGGATGTTGCACTTTGTTAGCTCTCCTTAACACGTAATCTGGAGACAAATAAGATAAGAAATATGCCAACTAAAAAAAAAATGTTCTTGTTGTTTCTATTTTTTTTAGGGTTTTTTTTTTTAATTTTTATTTCCAGCTCTTCCTTTCACTTTTTGAAGATGCCTGTTCATTTCTCCCGTGCCTTTGCATTTGTACCTTCATGTTCCTTGACCTGTCTTCCATGAACCTGATGTTTATGGATAGCCACCTAAACACTTCATCTGTATGACAAAGTATGCTTCAGAAAATGAATGGTTCTGATTGATCCAACCTATGCAATTCTGGGATTATTCACTGATCAGTTCTGAGCATCTGCAGGAGATATCATAATTTACATCATGTCAAAGGTCATAACTGAACTTAATTCTTTTTGGAGCTATTCCAGTGTAGGTGTACTTTTTAGTACCTTCTTTAAAAAGTTCAAGCCTAACTTTAAAAATTATGACCACCTTATAAAGTCATGCATAACAGGAAGTTTAGTTAATTTTATTATCACTATATGCTGGCAAGGAATAATTGTGTACAAACATCCTGGTGTAAAAGCTCATAAATTAAAGACAAATTCTCATTATTTTAACTTCTTTCAAAGGAAGTCTTTTTCTTTGTGTTACACATGTATCACTCTATCAGAGAAGAGTATCAGAGTTTCTTCTGCATTACAATGTTTTCAAATCAGCATTAGTGGCTATGTATTAAAAAGATCTAGTATTCTTGATAGATCAGCCTGAACAATATCCTTCAAAAACTTGTAAGATTTCATGAAGATCTTTGTATATATGTTTCTCTCCGAGTAAAGCAAGAACCTGAGATAACGGTTACCACTCTCTCTGACTGAGAGTAAATGCTTAAATCATGTGGCATTGATACTCTGCTGACAAAGACAACCTCTAGAGGTTGTGAAAGGATCTGGCATTTCTTTTTCCATATTCTGAATGACAAAAAAACTTGCATCCTTTTTGCTTCAGACACCAAATTTGCATAAAAGTAGAGAGGTGGGAGCCATGAACCTGATGGTCTTCATCCTACTTAAACTGAGAACTGCTGTTTGGGATAATAAGGCTCTTGCGTTGCATTGCACTTGTGTGCCCAAATTCCACTGCAGAAGTAGTCAGTGAATTTTCCAGTTTTCTCTGAGGCTTCAGTCTCACTCTGAGCTACTAAGAAACATGCCTTTTTTACAAAAACAGCATTAACCTGGTAGAATAGATAAGGAAACACTTAGGTTAGCCACATCTGATCAAGTCTGTATTTTGCAGTCTTAAATGCAACATTACAAAAACAGAAGAGAAAGCATTTAAGTAAAGCAAAGATTCCTTCTGTGGTCTGCCTTCATTATATTACCATGTTAGTGATGTGAAGATTATCTTTAAATTTCAGACCCACAGAAATAGTGTAAGGAACAGAATAAGTCAATGCACTGATGTCTTCTTTGGAAAAACCCTGTCCCTAAATGTTCATACCCCTAAAGGAAAATGGTCTTCAGACCTTGAATGAGGACCACGTCTGGAGGAGCACTCTTCAGCTGCCTTCTGTATAACCAGCACTTTGTAGTGGTGTGGATTTTTCAATTGGAGACTGGCCATCCTTTAAATATCACTCTGAAAGTCAGCCCTTTGGATATCACCCATCATATTCTTCTGTTGAAGAATCTCTTCTTTTTCTATTTTGATTCCACTTTGGCTATTGTAATAATGGTCTTTTGTCTGTGTTTTGCATCCCTAGTGTAACAAAAATCATAATTTTCTTTTTTCTCTCACCTCTGCAACAAATAAATGAACTTTGTATTCCAAAGTATGTTAAAAATGGTCTTTCTGGCACTTCTTGCAAGAAGAACAAAAAGAAACTGATCATTATCAAAATAGTAAATTCCAGTGAGAGTGAACGTAATGACCATTATTTATGTCTGTACTGGAGAAATTGAGATGCCAGCAATCCAGCATCTCCCTTATGCCGCAAGAGGCTGATAAAACATGGTAGTGGGCTTCAAGAGACAGGTCTTTTAGTCTAGCATCCCTAAGCTTAGATCACATCTTAGGGTATTATAGTTACATTTTTAAAAAGCAAGTCTTAATCACCAAACAGTTGACAGCAAACAGCATAAAGAATAAAAGTTGTTAATATATCCCAGCCTTCCAGTTCTATTTAAAATAAGTAGAGGAGAAACAAAGATGCTTTATATTGAACAGAAACCTATTAAACACATACAATGTGTTGAAAGTATATGTTATTTTAAATGCTTTATAAAAGGCTAGCAGTCACAGATGTTGGACTCCTTTGGCTGTGCATCTGTTCATAAAATAATGTTAGTTCAGGGTACCAGGTAGTACTCCTCAAGTTCTTGATTGGAACTGAAGACATCCTGTAGCGTCTGCTCATATGGTTTGGGTCATGACTGGAGAATTCTGTTGAATATTTTAAAATTAGGACAGTCCAAAGGTAAGGCTTAGCAGTATTTTAAAAGTTATGAAGTAAAAGAGAGCAGAAGGTTTCGTCCGCTAAAGATGCGTTTATCTGGTATAAAGAGTTTTCACATTGTGATAACGAGCATGTGTTGTTCGCAGGGGAGGAGCTGTGCACCGGCCTCATTTCAGGCTGTTCCTTGGACTGTTCCTTCGGCTTCCAGACTGACGTCCACAACTGTGAGATCTGTCAGTGCCGACCGCGGCCCAAGAAGTGCAAACCCATTGTATGTGACAAGTACTGTCCCTTTGGATACTTGTACGTATTCTTATTCTGAAAGCATATTTAATACAAACCCTGTACATATTGAAAATACGCAAAATCCAGGCATACGTACTTGTGTTTACTTTGTGGCAAAGCAGGGGAAAATGTAGAAAAATAGAAATGTCATTACTTGATGTAAGATTAAGGTATTCTTCAAAATGGATTTTGATCAACAGATTAAGAAACAGCAACTAAAAAAACAGTGGCAGATTGTAAAAGCAAAGCAGTCCTTAAATTTTTTTAAGAACATTTGACAAACGATGAAAAAGCTACTTAAAAGTAATGTCTCTTGCATGTAGCTTTTTGAAATTCTGTTTGCATGTTCCGCTGTGATACCCTTTCATTTTATAGCCCGGTTATTTTATTCTAATTATTTTCTAATATTTCAAGGTTTTTTTAATGTTATATGAAACAGACTAGTTTTAGTGAGACATTTCTGATAGTTACTTTACAGGATTCATTAAGAACACTAGCATCTCTTATCTAAGTTTTTGTAAATGTGTTCAAAACCTGTATCATTGCTGGAGTTCTTTCTCAATAAAAGGAAATATTCACAGTATTTAATAATTTGTGAAACAGGTGGTGAAAACTGGGCAGATCTTTTGTCACGTAGAAATTCTTAGTAATAAGTCTGGCGGCTTCTATATATATTTTACCAATACATTTTATTTTTTATGGGTCCATTCCACGTTACTGCCTGCTTTTCATAACAGTTTAATTCCTACCTCATGACAGCTGATCTTCAGAAAATGTTCAGATGTAATTTGTTTTCTTAGGATTTGTAATGAAGTTTACTAATGTGGTAACTCTTAGTGTTTGACACTAACACTCCTTTAATTTCTGGTTCATTTCAGAATTCTGTTTGACATTGGTTCATAAATGCTGTGGGTTTTTATAACACTAATCTATACTGTAGTGTGTCCTCTTAGTACGCAGTTTTAATAAAGTTTGGAGGAATCAAAATATGGTAGAACCTGAATGACCAAAGAGGTACCAGAGATTTTAGAAAAATAGAAATCAAGCTGTGACATAGTGGCATTCTCACAGATTTAATCAGCTCTGCTCATAGATGGTGCCAGTGAACAATTTATAGTCTCTTTGGTTGTGCTGCCAAAGGAAAAAAAAAAAAAGAGACAATACCAGCCTTACACTTTTCTTTAATCTTCATGCTATTCTTAGCCACAGAGTGGTGTTCCGCTTAAGTGAATGTGCTGGTTGACCTCCCTTTTATTGCCCATGCAGCTCTTGCATTGTGTGTGGTGCTAAACAGGAGATAGCATTACATCAAACAAAAAGCAAATATGCTGCAATACACAGACACAAAAAAAAGAAGAAGAATGTTTGAAGAATATGTTTGCCTTGAAAACACTGAGTCACTTTTTTTCTGCGTTAGAAAGGGTGCTTGACTTGTATCCTTGATGCATCCCTAGTGCAATTTGAAAATACCTACATAATAGCAGTCCAGCAAAACAAAGTAAAGTAATACTATTTAATATAATCCCATATCTGTTACTTGAGATGCAGAATTAGGCTTGCCTCTGGTTAAATAATAGAAGTTTTTGCAGGAAATGGCACTCATAAGAGCGATAGGATTGATGTAAGACAAAATGATGGAAAGACAACAAAGATTAAATCAAACTTCACTTCTGTCCCCAAAACTCAAAGTTTAGTAGATGAGAGAGGAGAAGTAAGAATTCTAAATTAAAAGGTTAGTAAAATTATCTTCAGGCATGTTAACTTCAAGAGTAGCTGAGAATTATTTTCAGTTTTGCAAGTGAGAGAAGGTAGAGCAGGAGGGAAGTTACAGAAAAGGGATGTCAGTTTTGTTGTCCCCAGAACTTTTGCCCAGTGGCTTCAAAGGCAAGGATGACTGAAGATGGGTAGCAGAACAAAAGAAACGTGAAAGACTGAGCAGAAATAATGACTGGTTAGATGTCTTGGTTTTTCAGATAGGATAAAGCTGTTTACGTTAAGGACCAAAGGAGTGAAGTCAATTAAAACAAGTACAAAGCATGCAGAATTGTTTAGAAAGTATACGGTGAGAGTGAAGTTTGAGCCATGCCATTGAGCAGGCACAAAATCCAAAACAAAGTCTCTTAAAGCTGGGAGCCAAAGAGGCAAATGGTGTTGGAGTATCTGAAACTGTGAGAATTCCATGATGGAATCAGCGGGAAGGGTAGCTGGGATGAGACAACAGCAATAAAAGAATACAACTTATAACTGTATTCAAGCATTTACTGGAAATTGCCATATAGTCCTCATATGGTGTAACCATTTCTCAAGGGGCACTGAAATCATTTGCACTAGCTTAAATTTGATTTTGAACTTTGGCACAGAATAGAGAAAAATTCTGAATAATGACCATCAGAATATATTTCATTGCTATTTCCAACAAAGATGGAAGCCATCTTTTTTGTTCATGATGCATAACGCATCTTCAGTAGCAAGTACAGGATGTGAGTTTGGCAGTCTCCAGACTGTATATCTGAATATTTCTTTTTATTTCTGTTTTGTATGCATGTGTTTGCATAATAGCAGAGACAGTTGGTATGAACTACAAAATTTTGTATTGTTTACTCAGTGTTACTGAGTATCGTTCTGCTTGGAACAGGAAAAGCTTTTTTTAATTTAATCAATTAACAAGTGCATAAACAAATTATTTTCAAGGCCATTTGCTTTAGCCTATTCAAAAGTTATAATATGAGAAAAGCATTAATTAAGGTCTATTTAATGTCTTTTGTCATTGCCTTTTTGGACTTGCATGGAAATAGCCTGAACATGTTCATGAACCAAGGTCTAGGTGTTTACTTCCATTCCAGCTGCGGTATCTAGGGCAGTCAAGTTTGTTTCTCCTTTTAGTTTCTTTCAGTTTACTACTACTGGTTTTCTTTACTGGCAGTCCCAATGTAGATGTCACCCTAAAGTGTTAAAAATTATTTTCTACTGCTGATAAAGATTGTTCTGAGCTATACTTACCAAAGTCATTTACTATTAATGTGTTTTGTTTGTGTAAATGTGTTAAGGTTACCACTACATTCTTTTAGTTTATTGTACAATACCTTTCCAAACAACATGGATTTAGGAAGAAACACTCTCTTTCACATAATAAGCAGGTTTATCTCGTTTGGTTATATTAAACTGTAATTTTTGTTTAGAGGAAAGTGAACAATATTATTAAAACTTTAAATGGAACATAGTAGAGACCTTAACCTGTGGTGAACTGAGTAATTTTTACCTTCAAAATTCTGAATCTTCAGGAAGAAGCAAATATTCTTTTAAGATAAGACAGTAAATTTACATTCCTGGGCCTGTGCTCCCAGTGTGTGTGACTGGCAGTAATGTTCTTGATTTGAGTCTATTTCATTAGTCACCAGACAGTGTATAACTGCTAAAAATAATAGTATTTTCTTTGTTCCTGTTTTCTTCCTTAGCTTTCAGTAAAGATGCACCCCTTACTTCTGCTTACATACATTTTTACTCTGCAACTTCTGATTTTTACTTTCTTTTCTTAAGCAAAGGTTTCTCTTTACTGTTGTCTTCTGTGCTACTTCTTAGTATTGTTAGTTTTGCAATGAAGTTGGCTGTTCCATGTTAACTGAATTAATTAATGAATTAATGAACTTTGATTAATTCAGAAAGTTGTTTCTTGGTTTGAGAGGTCTGACTTTCATGGTCTCTCATGAATGGTGACAACTGGTTTTCTAAAGAAAGGTTTAAACAAAGATGAGGAAGATCCTTATGTATAATTGGAAGATGACCTTCAGATTGCAGTGAATTTGACCTGTGATATTAAGGGTTACACTATGACACACCAGTATAAATCATCAAGAATACCTTTTTGGACAACAACTGAAAATCTGAAATAATTCTGTTGGTCTTCTCTTGTTGCACTTTAGGTGAGATGTGCCTGCATTATTTTGAAAGGCCTTAAAGGAGAAATCTCTAAAAATGAGAAGGATAAGAACCCAAGAATGGAGCATAATATACTTTGTACCTTATTAAACTGATTTTCTGTGTTTGAGTGCAATCCTCTCAACCTATAGGTCCCTTAGTTTGTGTGATCTGTGGTATTATCCTGCTGATACCTGTGCCTAAGCACTTAAGGTGATTGTTGTGGTATGTGTCAGTAGTAATCTAGGTGATTGTATGGGGAAATTTAAAGGTGTCCGTGCCATCTTCTTCAGTGTGGACGTACCTGAAGCTTGCAGTAGTGCTGTCTGTCTACCCAGAAATGGTTCAGTCTTCTGAATGAAAATCAAAGAGGACTGAAGAGAAAAAAGATAGATGGCCTAGCTTTATATAAAGAAATCGATCAAATCATTCATTTTGCTGAAATGATTTCCTGTAATAAAGAACTGATGTCTCGATTTCTGAGAAGGGTGGGAAAAGGCCTTATAAGTATTGTCCATGAGCTGCAAAAGCACTCTTAAATACAGAGATGCTTAGTCCTAGGCGCAGGTACTTTTCAGTGTCGATCATGTGTCAAGGGTAATCTGTTAAAGGATACAAATTTCAGGCACAAATCCCAGTGATTTTCTAAACTTGTGGAGGAAGCAGACAGTGTCTAAGAAATTGTGTGATACTGTCGTATCTGGAGCACAAGTCTTATGAGGAGCGGCTGAGGGAGCTGGGGCTGCTTAGTCTGGAGAAGAGGAGGCTGAGGGGAGACCTTATCGCTCTCTACAACTACCTGAAAGGGGGTTGTAGTGAGGTGGGTGCTGGTCTCTTCTGTCAGGTGGGTGGAGATAGGACAAGAGGAAATGGCCTCAGGTTTGCAGCAAGGGAGATTTAGGTTGGATATCAGGAAAAATTTCTTTACTGAGAGGGTTGTCAGACATTGGACAAGCTGCCCAGGGAAGTGGTTGAGTCACCATCCCTGGAGGTATTCAAAAAGCATGTAGAAGGGGTACTTCAGGACATGGTTTAGTGGGCATGGACGATGGTTGGACTCGATGATCTTGAAGGTCTTTTCCAACCTAAATGATTCTATGATTCTATATAAGAGTAGGAAAAATTTAGAAAAATATTAAGGTTTATGATGTTGAAGAAGAAAATAGTAAGACAGACTTTATTTCCTAGATTTACTAGGCTTACTTTGTATACCTGAGGAAGACTAAAATTACAAAGTAATATGCTTCGAAATGGAAACTCAGCTCTTCAGAAATGGAAAGTATCTGGAATTTAGTGAAAAGGAAGAATGGTAAACAGCTTAAAGTTAAAAAGCATAAATACTGAATCTTGCAATACGCAACTATTCATTTGAAGTCCTAGACATGATAAAATGACACCTTGATCGTACATTGACTCACAGAGTATCAGATCTCTGGACCGTTTAATGACTTGCCCAGGCATTCCCCAGTCCAAGGCATGCTGTCTGCCCCATCCTACCATATCCCATTCAGAGGAGTTGTGGGAGGTTGGTGAAAACATCACAGAGGTCAGGACTGCTCCATGGGCTAGCGCTGAACCACATGGCTTGTCTTCAAATTGAAAACATTATTAAAAAGATAATGTTCAGCCTCTCACAGAATTGCACTGCTTGTTGTAAAAAGTAGTAGTTTTTAGCCTGTATGTAGTATATTGACCTACAGAGGAAAATTACAACTTTATGTGTTTTCTGTACTTGGATAATTTGAAACACATTTCTCTCTCTCTCTGTTTTTTAAACTAAAGTGTGCATAAAAGAGTTTTATTAGAAAATCTATGTGAACTAGGTAGCAAAAGCATTTTAGAAATTATAGCAAATATTAATGGGCATAGTATGGTAGCTGGGAGTAAGATAAAGATGTTTTAAAAACAAGTTCATTTCAAGCTGATGTTAGTGTTCTAGGAACCCTGTTTTGGGGATGATCTTTCCCTTGCATTTTTGTACACCTGAAAAAATCTGAACTTTAAACTTCTTTAAGCTAATTGGAAAATAAGTTTCAGTTTAAATTCTGGCTTTAAATGTACAATGTAATTTAATTATGCACAACATTTGGCTGGTATTTTTAAATGATGAGTGTTTAATAAGTCTTAAGATGATTGTAATTTAAAACAAACAACAAAAACCACCACAACAAACACACATTGGAAATAAGCACCTTAATCTTATCACTGTCTACAAAATATATGAATAATTGCACTGAATAAAATGAATAACATTTAAAAATAACTATGTATGTAACAGCTTGTAGTATAAAGGGCTAAAATTGTGGTAAGAACTACTTTAAGATTATTTCACTTCAAGTCTTACTTTGGTGCTAAAATTACTTATATTTGCAGCTGTATAGTACATTTGTTTGGTTCTTTACTGCTACCGTGCCAATTTCTTTTCTAAAATAGCAAGCCTTGTGTGACTTACAAGCCTGTTATGACCATCAAAAGCATGGGATGTAACAGAATACAAATCTGTATTTTAATGTAAAACTTTGGTCACAAATAGGAGACTAAAGAAGCAAATATATATACATAAAAAAAAGTATTTTAGAGAATGAAAAGTTAAGGAGTAATCGTCATGTCTGAGATTTTTTTTTTTAAAGACTGTCAAAGGTTAGTAACTGGAAAATCTAAGTTCATGCATCTTTAAAGAAACCAAAACCTTTTCACAATTCTCTGAGGAAAAACCTGCTCAATAGAGTTCACTGTTTGAAAGCTCTACACATTAATGGAAAGAAGCATTTATTTTGATATTAAAAGGGCTGTGGTTACAAAGATTAAGGAGGAAAAAATAGATGGATAGGAGGACAGAAAGTCTTTCGTTCTTCCATCCTACTATGTGACGATTTGTTTTCCTTAGCTTTTTAACTAAAAATTAAATAAAGTTTTCCAGAGCTTTCAGTGAGGCTTTCTGGAGATTTAAATAATTTATTTCTTCTCGATCCCTCTAGATGTTCTTCTTTAACTTCCCATGTCTTGTCTTTGTTTTGGGGGAAACTGGTGTGCATTTAATGGTGTAGTATTCAGTGAGGGATCTGATCTGTCAGTTTCCCAATAAATGTTTTTCCCAGTTTTAGTGAGTTACCTTGTTGGAGCGATATGTTTAACAGCAGACTCATGAAAATCATTTATTGGGGGGGGGGGGGGCCCCCCTTTTTTTTTAACTTTTTCCCTACACTTTTTTTTTTTCCCCCTCCATCTTGGGAAGGCACAGAAAATTACTCTCTCTGTATATTAAGGGAAATAGTATGCTTGTGCCTAAAGTTTGAATGGTATTATCTGTCTTCCTGAAAAAAACAAGCAAATATTCAGTATAGGATTCTCAGAAGCAGCATGTTTATGGCACTGTGAAGAGGTTAACTGTCAAGTGGTGCTCTAGACTCCTGCCTAGCTTCACCTGGAAGCTTTGGAAGCATTTGTGTTCTTGATTCTCTGTACTCTGCTGAAAAGTTCTCTGGTTTTCTCTGTTTCAAAATACGTTACTGTGTGTCTGCTACTTTTTACATGGGTTATTGGCATTCCACATGCTAGTTTTCAAGTAAGCTTTGTGTCTCATTCATGTTTTCAGAAATCTCGCTGTAGTTCTAATATGCAAGGGAGGAAATCTGCTGTACTTTACCTATTGTTGGAGGAAGAAAGTTAGCAGCAATTTGTGTTATAAAAGTATAGTAATTATAACAGATTCCTACCTACCCCTCCAACTTCTTCACAGCTGTAGAATTTTTTCTTTCTACTTTTTCACTTGAAAAATAATTGATCATCGATAGTAGTACCAAGCACATATGTCTGTATTATTTGCTATAGCTTGAAAGTACCAAATGCAGAGATTTTGCCAGTCACATGGAGGGAGCACGTGCCAGGGATGGAGACCTGTACACCACATAGACCCACTGAACCTAAGGGTGACAGTTGCAATAATTTTCTTTACTTGATCAGTCACTTCTTGAGGGGATGGTTTTGCTTTAAAGATCATGACATGTAGGTATTTAAAGTGACCTGCTGACCTTTCACAAATTATTTTGGTCATCTAGGAGGAACAAGCATGGGTGTGAAATCTGTCGGTGTAAGAAATGCCCAGACCTGCCCTGTGGTAAAATCTGTCCGATGGGCTTCCAGCAGAACAGTCACGGCTGTGTTATCTGCAAGTGCAGAGGTATGTGCGAGTTCACCTCCAATTACAGTTTGTTTTCAAAGCAGCTGGAAGCTAGAGCAAAAGAAAAGGAATACTGCACAGAATATGTAAGAATTGAAATACGGGAACTAGTGGGAGATTTGCTTCAATTTTGCTCAAAGGAGTGATTTGTTTTGCAGGTATTTGTTATTATCTGTGTTTATCTTGGCTTCAACAGAAAGCCTCTGCTCCACTTTCATCTCCCATTACAAAGTCAGAGAAATCAGTTTGTTATCACCAATAAAAATTAGATCCATGTGTTAATAAGTAACTACTAGAAAGAAGCTGGTGAGGGGGGGTGGGGGGTGGTCAGTAGCAGTGTTCATCTTAGCTTCTTCATCATCTTTACAAACTCAAGCTTTGGATTTGATAGATGCCCTGTACACCACCTAAAATTAGAGTGCTGTTTCTTGGACACTTTTCAGGTGGTCTCGAGGAACAATGAGTAGAGAGAACACTCACCCAGGAGAAAGGGCTGGGTATTCTTAAGCTTAATTTCACATGTGCCACATCCCAAACTTGTAACCACCAAGTTCGAGGGGGAGATTGAGATTAAGATGTTCATTAGCTGTTTGCTTTAGTTTTGTGCTGCTTTTAACATGTCTCATTTTTAAGATATTTTCAGTTTGTGTTTTGTATTACTCTGGGTATCAGACTTCCTTCATTGCTCATATCCATGTATTGCATTTAATAACTTTCCATTTGTGCTCAGGGTCTCTCTGATCCTAACTGCTCTTTCATGCTTATCTTCTTTGATTCTTACTTGCATGTTTTGATTTCTAGCTATAGGCAAGTAAGTTTGAGTATTTTCCCTTTGCTTTGTATAATGACTGCATTCTTAACTTTTTTTTAGCAGCTATTTCTTTTGCAGTTTAAAAAATGATAAAATATAATAAGACAAGTTATGGGAACATGGGACTAAAAGAAAGTGTATGAGTTCCTGAAGTCGCTTTCCTGTAAACATGCAATTATATAAATAGACAGATCCAACATTATATTTTCCCCACGTGACATCATATACTGCAGATAATTATAACAAAACTTTAAGACTTCTAGCAAAAAAAAAATTGAAATGTTATAAATGTACCTTGCAGATATGAGTAGAGAGAGATTTCACTGACATAATCTGCAATATATGACTTTTACTAGAAATAAAAAACCTAAAAATTAAATTAAAAGGCTAACTGCCCAATAGAATCCCATTGAGACAATCCTCATCACTTATCTTGTCATGTGTCTTCATGTTCACAGTCAACACTCTTTTCCTGATTGTCATGATGCAATGATGGAATATAGAATATACACAAGGTGTTCTCTTAGGTGCGCCATAATTGCATCCCAGACTATAAACAGATGCAACTCTTTGGTTACTAATCATGTGTATGCACACTTTTAAGTGCTTTCCTTAACAAGGATGGATTTTAAAACATGCACAAATATTTAGTGAAAATAACTTGATCCCTCTCCAAGTAGTATTTATTGTTACCATAATCATAAAGATACCAAGCCATGAGTGTATCACTTCAACGTCACTTCATTAGCAAATTGTCCAAGAATAATTAGAGCAATCACCAGTATGTTCTGGGGGAGCTGTGCATCCTTGTTAAAATTTTGACCCAAGATCCCTAAGTAAGGGGAAGGGATGGATAAATCCCCTGCTTGTGAATTAGCTCCACTTTCTATATTGCTTCTGCCAGAAATAGCTTATGCTAGGATTTCCTCTGGAAAACTGAGAGTCCATCCCTCACATAAAATAGAGTGTGTCTGGATAATCCTTGACAGATGTTTGTGTAAGATTTAGTTTATTAAGAAACTCCACTCTCAAAAGACAAAAAAAAATGAACTCTCTAAAATAAGTTTTCCTGTGGTTACCAATATGTGACATTTTAGAATAAATTTTGTAATATTTGTCGCCCTTTCTACAAATTGAACCAGTTACTTCTCATCATAAGCTCAGCAGACGTATGGAACAGCTAAGCACCATTCCCCTTAGAATTCTTGCAGTATTTAAGGGGTTGCAACTGGAGCCCCCTAAATGTTTTGGGGGTTGGGGTTTTTTTCCTAAGTCAAATAAACCCAGTTATTTTGGTCTCTCACTACAGTTAAAAAACTGGATATTGACCTTTAGCAGTAGCAAGAACTTCAAACTAGTAGAGATAGTAGTACTGCACTTAAATTTACAATGCTCCTGTACTTGTATCTTAGATTTAATTTGCCTTCTCTGGAGTGGTATCACATTACTGACTCGTTTTCACTTGTGAGCTACTACAGTCCCAGATCATTTCAGACATAACTCTAGTTATCCTGTTATTCCTGTTTTGTATTTGGGCATTTGTTTCTTCTTTAAATATTATCTTTTGTACTAATTTTAATTAAAAACTGAAAAGTGAAAATAATCTCAGTTTGTGAAGTTAATTTTGAATAGTTGCTTATATGCTTGGTTTGTTTCTCCAGACTTTGGAGTATACTTTAGAATATTTCAGGAAAAAAAAAGTTTGATTACATCAGATCCTTTATTTATTAAGGAAGGGGAAGGGAATTACCATTTAAGACTTTTATGTGTCATTAATAATTTTAACGTATTCCAGTGATACTAATTCAAATAGGAATTAATATATAATCTGATACTGAAGTACAAAAGTGTAGTAACTGAATAAACTTTTTTCATAGTATTTCTGTTCGTGCAATAGGATGAAGTCTGTTTTAAGAAGTATTATATCTTTATGCCATGGCTTTTCTTTACTTCACAAAATGGTATACTAATGTAATTTCTCTGTATTGGGTTCTTATTCTGATAACATGCATAAAACTAACTTTGTACCATCTGCTTGTGGTTCTTAGACCGCCTTTGATAGATCTGCCACAGCTGAAGAAGTGCTGACCTACATGTTAGTAAAAAAAAAAAAACAAAACAAAACCTTACTAAAATTACATATAAACATTACTACTTTTCATACTGCATCCTTTTTTAAACAGAAAATGAAATAAGCAACTAAATACAAATAACGTTATATATATGTGTCAGCAGAAAATGGTTGACATACCACTGAAAACAAGTCAGTTCACTGACAAACTGATCCTGAGTCCTTCATCATCATCATCATGTGGGTGAGGGAGTGTTGGGCTCTAAATTCACTCTGCTGATTAACAAAGAATAGATTGAGGCTGAATCCTGCAGCACTTAAGTACCCCTTAAGGTACAAATGAGACTTTATCCTTCCTAGACCAACTGCTTGGGTGTTCTGGCTGAGTGCAAGTAATGCAGCAGTCCAAGCTACTGTTTTCTCATCTCAGTAAAAGCTAGGAATGAGCGATAAAATTGTCAGAGCAGTTATCTTCCAAACATCTCATTTATCATAGTAATGTAACCAAATAATTTCTCATAGGTGTTTTATGAAATGTTTCCAGTATCTAGCATGACCCTGTTAGAACTTGCTTGTAATTTTTTGTCATTCATGATATAAGACCATCCTTAGCTCTTGTAAATGCTTTTATATTCTAGTTAATGCTTTTATATTCTAGATAACATTATAGATAATCTTAATGAACTGCAATATTTAAATATTTCATTTTAAATATGCTTCATGCTTTCTGCTATTTCCCTCCATTGCGTTTCTCTTTTTTCTTATATTATTTAGCCAGTACTGCATTTCTGTATGATTAAAATCAGCATAGGTGTAACAGAAAGAAGTGATTGTATTTTCTAAGGAAATACATTCTACTACATCCTACCATCCCCTTCAGTATAACTTGTTTCATGTGTGTTGTTACTTTATTTTTAAGTGTAAATGATAGAATTATTGTTCACTTGGTCTTTTATGTGCTTCAAAAATGAATGCAATCCAGGCATAAAGTTGGTGTGCTTTCTTCCTAAGCAACGCATGCTTATCAGGACACTTCATTTTCTTTTGATTTTGTGCAGAGGCAACGGCTTCTCTTATGCCTCCTGTTAAAACAGGCTCTTGCCTGTCAATGGATGGGCGCAGACATGAGAATGAGGAGGGCTGGCACGATGGCTGCAGGGAATGTTACTGTCACAATGGACGGGAAATGTGTGCCTTGATCACCTGCCCTGTTCCTAATTGCGGCAACCCCACCATACATCCAGGGCAGTGTTGTCCATCATGTCCAGGTAACATGCCTTCTTCTATATGCTTTGTAATAGGATTTCATTTCACTTGTGTTCTGTTTCCTAATACATGAAAATAATCTCATGCGTCATTCAGTAATAGGTATATATGAAGGTTTCTATGCCCAAATATAACATGATGAGTGGTTTTCATTAAGATCTCAGATGTGAAAAGTGGGAACTTACATATTTAAAGCATATGCATGCTGTGGGTCCTAACATGGTAATCTTTGACCCATTGAAATCTTTAAACTAGAAAAATTTTATAGTCTATATCAGCTATAATAACGAATTCATACTCATTTACAATTTTGTTACCCATAATAGCAAATAAGTCATTACATTTTCTCTTTTTTAATTTGAAGTGGAGTTTTATTAAAAGTCATCTCCTGATTCTGTGTTTCACAACCCCTCAAAGGAGCATACATTTAAACAGATGTCTTAAGTAATTGAACTTTACGATTCTGTGTTTTGAGGAAAGGCTTCTGTGCCACCAGCAGTAGAAGATTATTTTAACACTTTTAGTGAGAAGGCCAAGTACAATTAATGCTGCATTCCAGTACAATTTTAATAGTAAGTGTTAATATGAAAAGCATCTATGAAAGATGTTAGAGTGTGGTTAGAGTATAAGATTAATGCCCTCTGTCTTCAGAATGATTCCTACATTTTATGTGCTAAATAGATTAATTTGTAATACAGTGATATTGTCTATGACTATTGGAAGTCACGTTACAAGTAGGAAAAACGAGGCTCATGATACTACTATAAATAGCAAAATGGTAAGACAGCACTGGCAGGATATAAGCAGTTACAACCTGTTTCAAATTCTTCATAAAGAACAGGAAATCCTAGGGGCAAAATAAGCAGCCAGACGCTCTTTCTAAAAGTGACAGAGTGTATCCTCCCTAGGACCTAAGATAACCGATCTCTTTAGATTGCTTAGACAAAGGATGATCTCCAAGCCCGTTCACACCTTGTGGTAGCTGGAAAAACGTAGTCTCCAAAAAGATGGGAGAGTCCAAAAGGTGTGTCTCCCTTTCAGCCTTTCTTAGTCTCCACCATGCTCCTCCCCTTAGTGTCAAGACTGGCCACTGTGGTTCCTGTGGTTCCATGGCCAGCCATGGTGTTGCTTTTGGCACTGGCTTTCATGGAGCCAGAGCTGTTTTCAATACTAAATAATTTAGCAGTGGTTACTGAGGCCGAGCTCTTAGTGCTTAGCATCTTAGTAATTACAACCATTAATGACATTTTTAGCTGAGATGAAAACACTAAGGAGGATACTCCCACCAGTTATGCACACTAGGGGAACCATCCTTCATTCATCCTTCTCTTCCATTATCGAGTACCTGGCTAGTCTGATGGGGAATTTAGAAATCATAAGATTTTTAAAGGAAGCCTTAGTGTTTTATCAGCTTGGAGCACGTTTTTTTGCCATAGCAGTATGCAGTGTTGGTCCATATGCATCCCATCAGGTATTGTCATTCTTTCCTCCAGCTCCCCATGCACACACACATCCACAGCCTGTCTTAAATAGTACACTTCTCTCCACATGAAACCTCAGTGTGGCAAAAGAAAAAAAAAGAAGAAGAAAACAACAACAACAAAAAGATTCAGTTGTGAATATTGTTCCAGAAGGAGCAGCCAAACAGCAAATAATAAATACAGAATATCATATTCCTAAAGTCATATCACTGGACAGGGATGTTATTTTCCACTCGCACTAGCTGGAATTCAGGGCTGCACAGAACTGGTGGAGTACCTGCAGCAGTCACTCACCTTTTCACAATTATTTGTGTACTGTTGTAGGGGATGGTATACTTTGTATGAATGGGGACAGGTTGGCATGTCAGTCTTGCATTAAATAAACATTCAAGATTCAAAATTTAAAATGTAGGATGGTAGTTCCAGTTTCAGCAATTCTGGTATTAGGTCCCCAAGACTGATTCCTGATTTCACTCTACTATCAGCATACTTGTGCGTATTGATCTACCTAACACATACAGAACACCTCAGAGCGTTCAAGTAAGAGTAATGTTAATTTTGGTGTTTCAGCAGCACCAGTGACTAGTTGCTCTGTTTACAGAGAATAAGTTTGGGTAAATCCATTCATAAGTCTAATGTTCAGTTCATAGAAAAAAGATCAGTATGAGATCAGCAGTATCTATCTTCTCACACTGTACATTTCTTGTGGATGAGATCGGCGTTTGATTCTAAGCACCAGCGATGTTGGTCTCTTGTATAAAAGAGCAGTTACCCAGTAGTGTCCATTCCTTTGAGATACAATGTCTGCGTAGGTTTCTCTGACATCTTTCCTGCTTTCGGGGTACTAGTCACCTAGCTTCTGTGTTAGCGAAGTCATACTTGATATAAACTCTTACAATGCTAGGGCAGATGCATCACTTTTTTTTTTTTTTAAAGTGATTGCATACATAGGTATCTGAATTAATGTGGCCAAATTAGTCCCAGTCCCCCACTGAGGTTTTATATTTGTTAGAAATGTACTTCTGATTTTATTTTGCAATGTATTGATTCCCCACTGATGTTAAAAAAAAAAATCATAGCTTTCAGTAAATAGGAATTAACTTTGGAATTGTGAGACTGTAAGCACATCACTCAAATGTGTCTGGCATAAGGATATTGAAACAATTAGCAATCCTGATGTACTGAGTTTTGAATTGCACTGTTAACCTGTCAACAGGGAAGTGGCAGCTCTCAGAGGTCATTTTTCAGATTGAGGAAAAAAAAGTGGTTACGTTCAATTCCATATTTGGTTAGTTTTCAACAAAGCAAGATATACCTTGACTGCTACAACATTAATTATAACTGTGATTCTATATATTAAGAGGTTTAAGTGGATTGTCGCAATGCTTGTGAAAAGCTCCATGTTTTCCTGTAAGATTTAGAAGGTCATTAACTGCTAGTGTTTTGCAGAACCATGCTATCCAGAAAGTCTGTATTTGTTTGGCTAGTTGCTCCTTCAGGAATATAGTAGTTGTACGTTTGTAGCAATTCAGTTGCAGTGCTGTATCAATATCAGTGCTGCTAAGGGAGCAGTAAGCAGTACCATATGTACAGCAGTACTATCTGGTTATGCTTTTCAGTTTATGAGCAGTATATGAGCTGTAGTAAAACAGGCCTGTGACTTTGCAGGGAACTAAATGCAAAGGAGATGACTCAGAAAATTTCCAGAAAATAATTAGTATTGCTTTACTGTAGCGGATTAGGAAGCCATTGCATAAAATGTAATACATTGTTCCAGCTGAAATAAAAAACAAACAGTGACAAGGCAGCAGACCAGCTATCTCACTTCAGGTAAATGCTACTGAATCACATATGGTTCATAAATGTGAGCAATAGGAAAAGAATAGCATAAGCGAATCAGTGAAAGATAAAATAATTCCATGAAAGAAGAAATGCACGAGTACTTTGTGAATAGAGTAAGATAGGCCAGACTCAGGTTCCTTGAGTTCTACTGATATTTTCCAGAAGTGAAAACAAATAATTGAGTGGTGTGTCTTTGCCACGGTTTATCCCCAGCTGGCAGCTAAGCATCACACAGCTGCTCGCTTACTCCTCCCCACCCAGTGGGATGGGGGAGAGAATCAAGAAAAAAAGTAAAATCATGGGATGAGATAAGAACAGTTTAATAAAACAGAAAAGAAGAAAATAATAGATAATAATAACAATAATAAAATTACAATATTAATAATAAAAGGATTAGAATATACAAAACAAGTGATGCACAGTGCAATTGCTCACCACTTGCCAACTCATGCCCAGTTAGTTCCCAAGCAGCGATCCGCCCCCTCCAGCCAACTCCCCCCCAGTTTATATACTGGGCCACAGTCAGAGCTGCAGAGTATGCAGTTTGTGGCATAAACTTTTCTTGATGGTTAACTGCTTAAATGCTTTCAAAGTGCAGGACAGGTTTCTTTTTTCTTTTAAAACACCAAGACATAAAGAAAGTTCCCCCATTTTTTTAATGCCCTAGTGGCTGGAGGACACTCATGCTGAACAAGGGAAACAGTTTCAGCTCCTTTCTTAACTTGAAGGAGATCAAACCCATTCTCTAAACTGCCTGGGTTAGAGGCCGTGTGAGTCTTTTAGACAGGGCTGTAGAGGTAATGTAATTAATTGTGTGAAAAGGAATTAAAGTTCATTTGGTGAGATACAGTCATTGGAAATATTGAGTATACACACTCTGGCATCTCCTTGGGTGCAGTCATTACTTCAAAGACTGCAGATTATGTATTTATTTATTTATTTATTTAATGGAACAAAGTGATGAAGCACTTCCACCAGTGTTAAGTGCTTGTATGTTTTTAGGGGTTTGGGTGGGGGATTCTGTGTTTTTCTTTGCCGTTTTGTTTGTTTGTTTTTTCCAAACTGGCACCTGATAGTACAGACACATAAACTCAGGAAACTCAAAGGCAGACAGTTGAATCTGGACTTTCTAAATCCGAGACAAGAAGCATACTTATCCATCCTTTCAAGAATTGCACTGATGCTAATATTTAGCAGTTAAGAAACTGATCGGTATAATTTTTCAGAAAATGACAGTTGTCTCTTGGAATTCCTACATCACGGATTGGTTTGATTTTTTTCTGAAATGCCAAGAATGTTTGACGTTATCTGATTTATATTAACTAGCATTTATTCAGACTGATTCTGAAATTGTTTCTTGTTTATATTTTTCCCATTTTCCATGAGATGCAGGTGACAAAATCAATATCTGGTTTTGTTATTCCTAATATTTTCAATAATAACAGAAATTATTAATCTTGCGTACATTTGTTAATCATTAGAGTAACAGTTGATTTTGCCTGTCTTCCACTTCTGTTTTTCCAGATGAAATAATTGTGCAGAAGCCAGAGCTCACCAGTCCATCAATCTGTCATGCTCCTGGTGGGGAATACTTTGTAGAAGGAGAGACATGGAATATTGATTCTTGCACGCAATGTACATGCCACAGTGGACGTGTCCTGTGTGAGACTGAAGTCTGTCCACCGCTGCTTTGTCAAAACCCCACCCGCACACAGGACTCCTGCTGTCCACAGTGCCCAGGTATATATTGACAACCACCTTTCATCAGAGTCCTTTCTTGATCTGAAAACATATGATGTGAATATTGAATGTTTCGGTATGTACACAGTTGGTTGTTGTGGTGCCTTCGTTTAGCAGTTTGGAGTGAGAGCCTGCAGTCCTCTATTTCAACTGCAAAACTTGACTGTGTGCAAGAAATATCTTATATGGAAAGGGGAGTTGTGGCCCTGAAGTTTGAACATCTTTGAAGGCAACCTAATAATGTAAGGGTTGCATGAGAACCAGAATCCTTACTTGGAAGGTTTATGAAATATGCACTGGCTTGTTTATGGAAACATGCAGAATTAGAGAAGCTTCGAAAGTAGTCAGTGCTAGGCAGATACAGGCTTGTTTGTTTTCCTTTCTACATGCCTTGGTTTCTATGAACCTTCTTTTTACTGTATTGTCTATTTGGTATTTGGTCTCAAAAATACTTCTGTTTGCTTTTACTTTCACCTGGTATGATTTGAGAGTGACTTGAAGGCAAGTGAGTAATATCAAAGCATTCCAGCCCAGCAGGTGTGCCAGATTCCTCTTAGACTGCCTCACAGTGTCAGGAAGGTAACAGGATTTGCTTTCCCCCAAGGAAAGAGATGCAATTATAAATGAACATGAATTCCTATTTTACATAGCAAATGGGGGAGTTTATTGCAGTGGAAATTTAGTCCAAACCTGTGAATTGTATGTAAACTCACTGTGAAAATATTTGTCTTCATTAAAAATTACTTCGGGGGGGGGGGGGGGGGTGGGGGTTTT